TCACAGAACTGCAGGGGAAGGTTGGTTAGTTTCAAAGAGACCTTTCATAAATTGATGACTGTCCAAGGTCTAGTTCCTGGACTGCAAGGTTAAACAGCTTATTTGTGCATCTGCCTCCTCAGTGTAGAAGATGGTGGCTTGCTCTTAGATGTACCTCCAGACGGGCTGGTATCTGAGGCAGAAAGGCCAGTGGCTGGATTTCTAAAGCGATATGCAGACCTCAAGGAGTTTGCGCAGCTGCGTCTTTCTGATCAGGAGGGTCTCCGTGTGGTGGAAAGCGACCTCGCTCAGGCAAAGATCAAGTCATTTGGAGAGCACCGGTGACCGTGCTGTTAACACTTCAGATGTGTGCTCCCACCAGGCCCTGCTAATCAGCCGCAGCCCACCTCGTGCTGGGGGCGGGGTGGGGGGGGGGTGTCTGCCCTGCCGTGAAGGCAGCTGTTACTGTCTTGTTCACCTTTTCCAAGTGCAGCTTCCTCTCAGATTACTTTTTTTTAACTTAAAATCAATTTCAGCTTTTTGTTTTCTAAGTCAAAAGTTTATACATGGCCTTTTATGGTAATAAAAGACCTCTGGTACTTCTCACCGTCACCCCTCCCCCCACCCCCATTTCCCACTCCCCACAGGTAACTGCTTTATACATTTTAAGTTCTTGTGCTGTCGGTTACCTTAACGTCTCTGAATAATATGTGTCTATCGCTTCTTGTTGATTTCTTAGTTGTAGGTATTCCTGATTGATTTCTCGCTGTGGAGGGTGAGGGGACATAGCTCTTGGGTCCCTCCACTGCCATGGACCCTCTTCCCACCCACCCTCCAGCACAGACATACCCTCTTTTTAGTGTGGTCCCTCTTCTGTGAATACGTGACTAGGATTCTGAAAATGCTGTCCAGCTGAGCTGGGAGGTACGGGATCATTAGCTTTGCACAACTTCTAAATTTCTTTTGAGTTCCTATTGGAAAAAAAAACCCAACATGGTTGGTGTTGTGTGAACTTGTTAATCACAGTGCAAGTGCTCTCTCGCTTACGGAAATCTAAACATGTTAAAAACCAGGCCCCTGTCAGTTCCATCCCAAGACGGTCTCTCCTGCAGCCCTGGCGCCCCCCGCAGCCCGAGGGAGTCTGGCTGCTCCGTGGGCTGGTTGCCGCCAGCTCCCTGCTCCTGCCGCTCCTTTAGTCAGATGCGGCTCGTGGGCCACACGGTTCACCCTTACAGGGTGTGCAGTCCAGTGGGTGTTAGTGCTTTTACAAGGCGTGTGACCACCCCCTCTCTCTAAATCCAGAGCACTTCCTCACCCCAAGGACGGACCCTGTACCCATTAGCAGTCACCCCTCATCCCTTCCTCCTCCTGGCCCCTGTGGAAACCCATATCCCTTCTAGGCGTTTTGTAGAAATGGAATCCTGCTGTACGTGGCCTTTTGTGTCTCTTCTGGCATCTTGTGCTTTTTCGTGATATTCTCAAGGTTCATTGTGTCGGAGCAGGCATCCGTGCTTTATTCCTTGTGCGGGCTCAGTGGTCTTCTGCTGTAGGGCTGAGTGCGTTCTGTTTATCAGTCCTCTGTGGAGGCGGCGTGGGTGGTTCACACTCTGGTTATTATTAATAATCTCCTCGCTTTTGTGTCCTATCTTCTCTTTCGTAAAACATCTGCTCCTCCTCTTAGATTTCTTGTCTTTTTTTGGTTGGGGGGATGGGGTAAGATTTTTGAAAGGTTGCACGTCTGACCATGTTTTTACCTCCTTACCACAGGGGTTGGCTCGGTACATAATTCCAGGTTGGAAATAATTGTCCTCAGCAGTATGACTTGATTGGTTGCTAGCTTACAGCGTTGTTGTTCAGACATCCAAGGTCATTTCTAACTTTGTGTCCTTTGTAAAAGTTCTGCCGCTGCACCGGAAGTTGGCACCGTCTTCTCTTTGTCGCTCTTGATCTGAAGTTGCCCTGGGAGGTGCCTGAGCCTGGCTCACCCCTCGTGCTGTGTGCCCACTGAGCTCTTCTGTCCCCACACCCCTGGCTTTTGGTTCTGGGGCATTACTTGAATGGAGTCTTTGATTTTCTGGTCTCTGTTAACTTTTTTTTTTTTTTCCCCCTTCCCTTTCTTGGGTTCCTCTCAAATGGTAATTCTCCATTTCACTCTTTGTTTTCCCTTTTGTTATCCTCTGGCTCTGTCTTCTGGAAATTTTCTTACCGTCTATCCTTTGTATCTAGCGTTTCATTACTTCTATCACAGCTTTGCTTTCCAAAAGAGCTTTGTTTTTTTGCTCTCTGTGTGTGCTGCTTTTTGTTCCTTTTAAACACTTCCCTGCTCCTGCTTTCAGCTCTACCCTCATCTTCTCTCTGGGACTATTACCGACAGTTTGCTTCTTGAGTGGTCTTTTTCCCTAACTTCTGTCTCTCCCTTAGAAGATGTTTTCCTCTGTAGATTTTGGTGTGGGTTTTCTGTCTTAGGTGCTTGTCTCAGATGTGAGGCGGTTTCTGGCTGTCGGCTCCATGGTAGGAGTGAGGTGCCAAAGAGCTGTTTGAATGCTGTGCTCGTATCCTGGTGGGGCGATCCGGCTGTGCCATTTCACTGGAGGACCCCTCATATCCGCCCCTTCTGGTCTGCTTCTTCAGCCTGTTAGATTCCCAGGACAATACTTGGTACTCCCTGCTTAGGGGTGTACGTTGGCTACAGCTGCTGGGGAGTTGGAAAGGAAAAATGGAAGAGGTTCAGTAGTACTATTTTTTCTCTGTTTCCCATGGGGTACTCATACCTTTAGCTCGGTCCAGACCACTGTTTAACCTCTTCCGGAAAATAAACCCTTAATTTTCTGCAAATGGCTTCTTTTTCTACCCCCCCCCCCCATAGTATTTATTTTTGAATGGGAGAGAGGGAGGGAGGGAGAAGGAGTAGGGGAGGTGCAGAGGGAGAGGAAGGAGAATCCAAAGCAGGCTCAGAACTGTCAGCACAGAGCCCGATGCAAGGCTTGAACCCACAAACGGTGAGATCACGATCTGAGCCAAAGTCTGCTCAACTGACTGAGCCACCCAGGCACCTCTGCAAATTGTTTCTTTTTTTTTTTTTTTTAATATTTTTATTTATTTCTAGGAGAGAGAGACAGCGTGATCAGGGGAGGGTCAGAGAGAGAGGGAGACACAGACTCTGAAATAGGCTCCAGGCTCTGAGGTGGCAGTCAGCACAGAGCCCGACGCGGGGCTCGAACCCACGAACCGCGAGATCATGACCTAAGCGAAAGTCGGACGCTTAACCGACTAAGCCACCCAGGCGCCCCAAGACAAAGATTTTTAAAAGT